GTCGTGTTTTCAGCGTGCGGTGACGGGACAGTGAAATGTTGGGATATTCGTTCAGCATCTCAGGAGGCTGTGCAGGTGTTCAGGGGCTACCCTTCCAACGTTTTCATCAGTTTTGATATCAACTGCAGTGATCTCATTGTTTGTGCTGGAACAGAAAAAGCTGAGAAGGACACGTTTCTGGTGTTTTGGGATGCAAGAGGTGTTACAAACTGTGCTGGCACAACTAAGGAGCCCTTGGGAGTCTATTCTGAAAGTCACAATGATGATATCACAAAAATTTGTTTTCATCCTGTCAAACCCAACTTGGTAGTTTCTGGGTCAACTGATGGGTTGGTTAATGTGTTTGACATTAACAAGGATAATGAAGATGATGCTTTGATATCTACTTGCAATTCAGATTCATCAGTAAGTTTTGTTGGCTGGTCTGGGAAAGATTATAAACAGGTCTACTGCATGACACATGATGAGGGATTTTGTTGGTGGGACATTGCTCAGTTAGATACTGAAGACCCAATAACACTGTTGCATGTCCTGGATGCCAGAAACACAGTCTGCATTGAAAATGACAGCTTACATTACCTGGTAGGTGGCTTGTACCACGAAAAGGTGGACAAACTCTTTCTTATTGGGGGAACATACACAGGAAATGTTCACCTCATCAGCTGTGGCACGGATGGACTGAGCCTGATGGGTACCCTTAGTGGAGGACACTCTGCCAGTGTTCGCTCCTTCTGCTGGAACCTGACAGATGAGTCTCTGTTGACAGGTGGAGAGGATGCTCAGCTGTTGCTATGGAAACCTGGAGCTGTGGAGAGGTCCTTTGCAAAGAAAGCATCTATGAAGAGTGCTTCTTCTGTGCAGAAGAGAGTAAGAGTTCACAACAGCTTCCTCAAAAGCAAAAGAAAGTGAAATTCTGAAAGTGGCTCTCTCTGCTGTGTAGAGGCTTCCTGGTGCTTCATCTCTCAGGCAGTACTTGGCTGTGCTTTATTTGGAGATACTCTCTGGAAAGAACTATGGTGCTTGAATTTTACCTGGGAATGTGTTTCAGTCATCAGAGGAATGTCTTTTTTTGTTGTTTGTTTGTTGGGGTTTTTTATAAGTTGCTAATATTAATCAGAAAAGAGTAAATGTTTGCTCTCAAGCTTTTGAACAATAGATCTTAAATCATATTATATAAAAATGTTTCTGTGGCTGTTTAATGTCTCAGCCAACATTTTTAACATAGAATCATAGACCTGTGGCTTGCATAATTTACCTTCCCACTGAAATTCCCTGGCATATTTTAAAAAGCTTTTTGTATTTCATGCTATATTTTGCTTTCTTTATAGAGAACTTAATGAAATTGCTCAATATATTAAAAAGATTTTATGTCACATTTTAATGCCTGAGGGAATTACTTCTTGATGAAACAGAAAGTAAGTCCTGGTTTACACTGTCATATCACTGGTTAGTAACAGGCTCATAAAGAAGCAATTGAGAGAACCATGTTTTTCATGGCAAAAGTATGAATGTATTCAAACAAACAGGAACACATGATTCCAAACAGCTAATTTTTAAGTGTATGAGAACTATTAAACTGGCATGATTGGGGCATGTTTCCTGCCTGGAAATACCCAAGATTCTTGCAAGTGACTTCATTCTCTCCTAGTAGGTGCATCTCAGGGAGTTGCACCTGGAAGACTGGGGAGATCTTCAGCAGGTGAAAGAAGTTTGATAAGTATAATTACACCAGTTGTGCTTAAAATCCCAAATCCTGCTTTTGAAATAATCTAGTATCACATGCTGAGTGGGAATGTTACCAAACATGAACACTGCCTTTTCAGACTGTCCTTACAGAATAACAGACCAAGATGAGGAGACTTTAACAAAACCTGTTCGAGGTTCGTGTGTGTCCTTAAAGGAACGTTTCTCTGCAGAGAGGTTTTATGCTTAGGTATCTCCCTAGGACAGCTTTGGTTTAGTATTCCATCAAATACCTATTAACTGGTGCAGTAATCTTCCTGTACTTCTGAAATAGTTGAGTCTTTATGCTTATTTTGCTCTGCTGGCAGACTGCAACCTGTGCATCTGGCTCTGCATACACAGTTACCTTCTGCGGACCATTGCATCAAATGGTGGTTGGTAATTATGCCACAGTTAACATACGTGGACTACAACTGAAGACAGCACAAGGGTGTTTAAGAATTGCTATTACAGAATAGTTGGCAAAGGAATTAAGAGGGGTTGGTTTTCTTTTTCTGCCTGAGGGTAGATGGGTAGTTCTGTCAAAACAAGTTTTGAATGTCAAGTTTAGAGGATTAGCCTGAAATTCAGAAACTTTTTCTGAGGTCCAAGAGGTGCCTCTAGTACCTGGTTACAGCTGTGCTGAAGTTGTCTTGATCATCTCTGGAAACAAATCCTATTCAGCCAGAAGTAGCAAGTTTCCATGATATATTTTACAAACTGTTAATGTCCTTCAGCCATAACTGAGCATCCATAGTTGTTCTGGGGTCTGCCTGTTGGTGATAGTTTAAGATGATTCACTTGCTTTTCCTACTGCTGTTTATTTAAAAGTGCAGCTTCGATTAAAAATCACATATTTCTAAACTTTTTTACTGTGTTTAATTCAAGTTACACCCAACTTCCTTACCTGATGCTTTTCAAGTTACTTGGTGCTATTTTGAAGCACCTTGGGCAGCAAATGTCAGGGCTATGATGCACCTGGATCCTATGCCCTTTCAAGTTGTGCTCTCCCAGGTCACTAGTTGTTGCCTCTTTCTGTGGAATACACAGTTTTGTAACTGGGTGGATGAAAATTTTCAGCCCTCTGAATTTCCTGCAATGCCATCACAGGCCTGACTTGGTTCAGTCCCAGTGGATGGGGGTGGGAAACTAAAGGAGACCTGTTTTGTTGCAAGTATGATGTATAGCTTGTTTTTAAGGTGTTTAGCTTCTCTTTTCCTGGTATCTTGACGTGGTGGAGTAAGGTCCGTAGGTCTATCTAACAGTTGATTTCTTGCAGACAGTTTTGTGTGCTACATCCAGGAGTGCACAGTGAGGGAGCTTATGGTTGCCTCCTCACTGTCAAGTGTCTCTTGATCAAGATTCTGGTGTGTTCTGCCAGCTGTCTTGGAATCAAAGCAGCAAAGATGGGAGTTCTGGTACTGAAGTGTTTGAAGTATGCAACCTGTGTCTGTTATCTTGTTTCTGAATTAGACTGATCCACAACAGATGGGTATCCACCACAGTCCAAGCCATGCTTTTTCTTCAAAAGCTGCTTTCTCCCTTTTACATACAGAAATAGCAATGGAAGGAGAAAAACGAGTGTGTGTATCTTAAAATTCTGCACAAGCACAGCAGCTGTCAGGAGACTCAAGCTTGTGTTGCCTCTGAATACTTGATTATTTTCTTTTTCTTTTGTGTTGCCTTAATTTCAGGTTAATATCCATAAAATAAACACTGATGGAAACCACATGGTAAAAAGTAATTGGCACTACTTGCTTTTGTAAACTGCAAACACTCACATAGCACAGAGCACAGGCAGAATACGTATGTACTCATATAAATAATAACAGACTTGAAATTAGGCAGGTTAACTTGTCTGACTGTATTTCATCTCTTAGGTTAGTTTTGATGTCTGTAAGTTGGCTTCAGTATTGTTAAGAAACATACTTGACCTTTATAAAACTTATGTAATTGAAACTCTGTACAAGTAGCAGGCATTCAGAAACTGTCACCATGTGAATTGTTTAACCCTGGGGGAAGCTCTAATTCCAGAAGCAGGATCAGATTTTTTTTCCAGTAAATGAAAAGTAAAAATCCAGATAGACTACCTAAGGGCAGGAAACAGTGCCCATCTGTATGCAGAGGTGATCATAAACCCATTGTACAATATTTCTGAGCAGCAGGAGCTTATCCTGCTGTGAACACATGGAATAAACATACTTTTACTTCCATTCAGCACACTCCTAAATTTCTTCTGTTGTTTTGGTTTTTTTTTCTTTTCTCTGTAAGTAAAACCCAACACTTGCACACTTGCCTTTGCTGTGTTTAAGGTGTGCTCCCACTGAGGAAGAACTTGCTGCCTCTCCTGGAAGCACTGCTTTACTGTTTCATCTGCTTGGAAGTTAAGAGACATATCAGGACAACATCCCATAGTCGGTGGGTAATTTCAGCAGTTATTTCAGTAGAGTGTATTTTACCCACCCTTTGGGATTGCAGTGGAAATTATTTGTCAAATCTATATAAAGATGTGAATTATTTTCTAGCTGGACTTCAGTTAACCAGTTGGCTGTTGTAAGTTATTTTGTGGCCAAATTGTAGATGGCACTATCCTATGTATTGACATGGACCCTACTGCATATCTGCATTAACATCTAATTATTAAAGATGCTGAGGTGGTAACACATTTAAAAGACATAAAGTGCAAGCTTTGAATGACATCTTGCTCTTGGCCAGTGATCATATGTATCCCCATATTATTACATGAAACAATATATTTTGTCATGTGAAGTTCTGCCTCAGAAACAGGCTGTCAAAAGGAGCCCAGATACCCCTGGGAAGGCAGCTTGTCTGTTGGGATGGAGCCCGGCCGAGTGCAATGGGAGTTTGGTAGGGATGGAGTTAATTGCAGTGCCAGTTTTTCATCAAAGCTTCTTGGCTTTTTTTGGCTTCTTGGTCTTTTTTTTTTTTTTTTGGAGTAGGAGAGAGTTGTGTCTTAATACTGCTCCCCATGAATTCTCCTGTCCTGTGCACAGGCTGCTGGACTCTGCGCTTTCTGTTACACCAAGTGGGGGTGGGAAGCAGAGAGAGGGAGGAAGGAAGGGAGGTTGGTCTCTGCCAATCCTCTGTCCAAGGAAGCTTCTCATCTAAGGAGTTGGACCCTCTGCCTTTGAAATACATGTAATGGCTGGTTCTTGATGGAAGCAGGATAGGACCTTAAGTAAATTATGCAAGACATAAATACCCTTCAAGCATAAAGCCAGCTCCTGTTTGTCTACAAGATGAAAAATTGGGCAGCAAAGTGTGCAGAAGAGGCAGAAGGTGTTCTCTCACAGGAGCTGAGTATTCTTAACTCCTGCTAGCAGTGAGGAGAACTGGCCAGGCCAGTACTGCTGCCTCTGCCCTGCTGGAAGCACTGGACTTGGGGATTTCACGTGCCATGGAAAAAAGGAATTCAAAAGTGAGGGGAGGGAAGGGCAGGGTATGACAGTTAAAATAGCAATTCAGACAGTGAATTTACAGCTTATCCATTAGGTGATGATACAGTGCTCAGTTTCTTACCAGAATTATTTGTGGATAACCTAGCAGCCAATTGTGAGGATCATTGAATCACACATAGTTTAGGTCAAAAGGGACCTTGCAAAGCCTAGTCCAGCCCCCCAGTGAGCAGGGACTTCTTCCATTACATGTTGCTCAGAGCCCCTTCCAGCCTGACCTTGAATTTTGGCAACTACTTGATTTCTGTTTCCTTTTTGTGTAGCAGTTTGTAAACTGGCACAGGGATATAGGTTGATGGGAGTGGAGTGGAGTGAACTTCAGTTACTGCCGTTGTCTTCTTGGCCTGGGCTCACTGACCTGGTGTTCTGTCCTGCTTGAATCATCACATGCATTTAGCTCTTGCATCGTCATGCCTTTAGATACTTTGAAATCTGTGTTTTGTAAGTATATCTACTTTTCTGGCAATAAAATGACAGAAATATTATTCTATATACTCCTGATGCAACCTTGGCACCAATATTTTTATGGGAATCTATTACATTTTCAATTGGATATCAATTTCAGTCTTGTTCTCTCATGTTCAGAATAAAGATTTGATGCTGCTAAAATCCCATGAAGGTGCTACTTGAGCTGCCTCTTGCCACAGGGACTCAGGACTAGTAAAGGGAAATGCTGGGAGGAGCTCAAGAGAGTTCTTTGAGCTCATTGAA